CCCCAAAACCCCAAAACCCCAAAACCCCAAAACCCCTTTATTCATTATCCCTTTTAGTAATAAATATTAAAAGTTATATGGAAGACAGAGAAGGCATAGAAGCAAGGTGGGTTATGCAACTCCTTCCATGGTCTTTCATCTTGTTCATATCATAGCTTACAATACTGCAAGGGTTTGTAGGAAACCAAATTTGTCTTCCAAATTTCATAAAAATTCATTAGTTTTCTTATAAATTTTCAAAAGTTCTAATTTTGTCTTGTAGCGAGAACGAGCACGGGAATTCTTGAGGATCAACTCCCAGCAAAGAGTCTTATCAGACCTATTCATCACACAAAGAGTCCCAAATTGAGGAAGAAAAGAACACTTCATCAGGAGACATCACATATAACGAAAATAACGAAGCTGTTTGTGTTAAGCATGAAAAACCAATTGAGGCCTTCTGTGAAGAAGACAGCTGCCCTGTCTGTATCACCTGAATCCTCTCAAACGAACACAAAGGCAAGACTCTCTATTCCATCGACAAGGCAATCGACATGCAAATCACTCACATCGGGTCTGAATACGAAAAATCGAATAAAATCCGAGAAACCTTACAAAAACAAAAGAATGAGGTTGTTGAAAAATTCAACAGTCTAATTGAATCAACTAGCTCGAAGAAAACCGATATTCACACTTTCTTCAACTCAATTAGAGAAATCATCGACAAACAGGAAGAGAAACTTGTCAAAGAAGTTAACGAAAAGCTAGAAAACACCAATACACAGATGAACAAATAAGCTAGAGGTCTTCAATCTCCAAGAACAAAGTTTAGATAAAATAAAAGACATGCTTAATATTGAAATCGAAGAGAATATCAAATCTAAAATCATGTTCCTTAACGACTGTGGTGTCAGAAATGAAATTATCACTAAAGCCAATAAGCCGATTGCTTCGATCAAGTACCCACAACCTCCCACTAAGCTACGAGAAGATAGAGAGACAGAGGAGATCATCAAAGAAATCAAACAGAGAAGTAAGCCAGCTCGAAAAAGAGCTACTCCTGCCCAAAAGAAAGCTAGTAATACCCCTGCTGTTAGCAAGAACAAGGTCAAGGAAACCCCTGATAATTTTTCCCAGTCAATGAAGGTATCTAAAAAGGCTTCACCTGATAAGAACAAAATGATCAAGTCACCTCAGACCCATGAAAATGCCAGCAAGAATACTAAACGAAAATCAGAGATAATAAAAGCCAAGAAAATGAGCGACCAGCCAAAGCCCAGCGCCAATGCTTCTAGAAAACCAAAACAAATCGAATCTAAAAGAGAACCACCAAAAGTGATCAAAGAAGCACTTCTTCGACAACATGAATCTGTAGAAGATCAACTCAATATGGAAAATCTCCTGAATGAGAAAAGAGAGAAAGAGACGACGGATACTCCCCAGAAGAACTTTCATAAATTTTTGACCAACCAAAACAAAGAGTCACAGCAAGAATATGTACCCTCCCCTCCTAAAGAAGCTCCTAAGAGAAATGATGGTTTAACAGAGAGACAAGCAAGAAGAAATGTATTTTCTCACTTAATCCCATAGCTTCCTGATGAAAGTACCAGCGCAAAGAAGCAGAACCGACTAGGCTCAGCTAGCAGAAAGATGTGGGACAAGAAGCCCCATCCTAATGATAGAGCCCATCGAGGAGCTGAAAGACCTCAGCCAGGGTAACCCTTTCATTCTAAAACACTTAGACATGGAAAAGGAGTAAATATCTCCAAAAATAAGCAGAAAATACAGAAAGACACACCTAATCAGGAGCAAGGGGAAAACAGAGCCCAAGAAGAACCAGCATACAAAGACAAACTAGCAGAACTTCGTAATAGAAGAAAGGCTCAAAAACGTGAAAATAATGATTATCTATCTGAAGAATTTAAACATCAAATGAACGAACTTGAACAAGTCACATCAAATATTCTTTCTAGGGAGACATTCATGCTTGCCGAAGCACAAGATTACGAGGATATGTATCAACAAGAAGAACAATATGTAAAACAAACTCCACCTCAAATGGTTAGCCTCCACGATTGGGACCTCGTAGATATATCTCAAGACCCCGAAAATCTAATTCTCGAAGGAAAAGAACCCATCCATAGACATGTAAGTGAGAACTTGAAAAGCGGTAGATCAGCTCACCATCCAAACTTGCTAAAACGGAAGAAATAACCAACCCAAATAAATACTAATATTATTTCAAAAACATCAGTCCCAACCGGGGTTTTGGGGTTTTGGGGTTTTGGGGGTTTGGGG